GTTAAATGAGAAAAACTACTGACTTGTGATATTTTTTATGCAATTAATTATTCTTTGCTTTGCATAATGAATTCCTGAAGGTATTACTGGCATAAAACCATATGGTATTGATATGCAAATTGGTGTTTGACTGGATCTAATTTGAGACATCTTAGATTGTTATCATCAAAGGAAATGTTATCACGTGCAAAAAGTGGCATAAAGAATGTTCAAAAACTTCTTTCCAAGTCTTATCACCAGGAATTCTGTCTATAAATATTTATTAAAGTTGTGTCTTGTAAATGCAGGAAGCTGCTAATTTTGCTGTTAAGAAACGGAGCTTGAAGCTTCGAGACCGAAAGTTGAAAATCTGTCATGCGAGAATCTGTCATGCCAAAGCGGATGCCACCCCATCCAAAAGGCCAAACCCATCACCAGCTCCTAGTCCTATACTCTATCAATAGTTTTTCTTTTTCTTTTTTCTTTTTATTATACAATTTTATATTTCAATTTTGCATCTTGTTTCCCCCTCATTGATTAGATTTTGGGAGCGTTCTCCCAACTTTTTGTATGACAAGTACCTTAAGAAATATATTTAAAATACTTGAAGCTTTAGTATAATAACCTCACTTTTACTCAAATATATGGACCAGAGAATCAAGGCATACTCAAAGAAAATGAAATTCTAAATCACCAAGACCAATTTTTTCAGAGAAAATATATTTACAACTTCATTCGCAGAACCTCAAAAATAGACAGATGTTGGAGACCCTGCTGCATATCTAATTTTGTAGAAGATAGCTCCTACTTGGAAATTGCCAAACATCATGAAATGTGCATGCAATCAGCATATGGTGCTAGTCAACCTCCTACTGGATCAGATCAACAGATCAGTCCAATTTGCTGTTAGAGCAGTTAAAGACGTCTTCTGAGAATCAATAGAAAATCAAAATCTTGATATAACCTGCAAATTCAAATGCTCTTTTTTAAGTTCACAGGAATACTCCTCTAAGTCAAAACAGCATATAAAACAAAGGTGAGAATAGGATCCACAGTGAATCACGGATATTGAATGGTCAACTACCACAAGACTAGATGACCTGATTATGACAAGTTGCATAACATAGCAGAATGAACTTGCCTCAGTTATCAGTGGCTTTGCATGTTCTTCCCATTCAGTAGCCCACCTTGCAGAAGAACCAGTTTCTAATGCACCATATTTGAGGACCTTCAAAGCATCACATTCATCAGGAAATCCCTTGAGGAGCATCTGTGTAGATTCAGCAAGACAGCAAATTAGTATGCTCAAGATTAGACATTTAGACTGTCTACCTTATGAATCAAGAATTTTTAACAGATAAAACAATCTGGAAAAAGTAATCCACATGTCAAATTGGGGAGTGGAAGATATAATGTCAATCTGCATCTAATATCTTTATGGATCACAAGAATGGAAAAACTCAAAGCCAACAAATGGCTAAGAGTGATCATTTTAGTGTCTTTAATAATATCTTTCATAATTCATACAACCATGATGAGTGGTTCAGTTGGTAAATTGAGCTCTTGGTAGACAGCCTATACCTGCAGTGTAGGAATTTGAAACCCACTAGAAGCACCTTGTGGCCAGAGCCAAGTTGATACGTGGACAAATTGCACTTTTTGCACACAAGTTCTTAAAAGGGTATCATTTGTGTCTAGATGCTCTATCTTATGGTATCAAATTTGAGACAGCATATTCTACAAGAACAAGATACTAAGCATATAAAAATCAATAGGCTGTTCCTCACTCCGCGACCTTTTACAAAAATGTCCTTAAAAATACATGATATTGTAATGAACAACTCTGCTTATTATTGATGTCTCAAGTTCAAAGAGATTGTGCATTATCCAGCAAATATTGTACATGTAATCATTAACAAACTTACCAGAAGTTCATCGGCTAGCTCTGAAGATGAAGAGAAGAGAAGACCATTTTTGTCAAGTCTAACTAGTTCTTTAATGCTTCAAGAAAGTAAAAAAATTTACCAATAAATGAAAAGAACATACTGTTGAATTTCAGAACAAATCACAAGCAAGTTTTGGAGGAAGTACATAGCATATACACTACATAGCTTACCAAGAGTATGAAACGGCACAAACAGGCAGTCCACATCCAAACATATCAACAACCTGGTGCAGTTAAAGCGGAAAAATTTAGAAATAAACAGAAAATGAATAAAGTGCCATAAGAAACCAAACCAAGATTTGACTTGAACTCCTCCCATGTGAAGAATTAATTGAAAAAAGAAAGGCTCAAACAGCTCAACGGGAAGAAACAGGAGCAGCCTTAACCCACTCAACAAAAAAGAATTAAGTTAGCCAGCACATGCATACAATTTACAAGAACTGGCACAAGACATTTTCTTAAGAATAATGAGGAATGGATCCAAAATTAGACTGAACATATAGAGATACTCTAATGAAGAACTCAAGCACATTATTTCAGAATAAAAAATAAGTTCTTTTGAAGATATAGTGAGGGAATTTCAAAAGTTTTATAACATAGGAATACCAACGTAAGCAACATGATATTTATTACAGTTTCATGGCTAAGAAGCTTATGGGTGCAATGTGGCTAAATGATACAAAAGATTACACATAGGAAGGTTATCAAAATAACAATGTAAAAAAAATTGCTAATAGCGTATCTTTGTTTGTACATTGACATATAACAATGGATACCTTCATGGGAAGGTCTAATCCCGATGATGAAGTATGCAAACAAACTCCTAGATCAGCCGATCCTGAAATTACCCAAAACTGTTAATATCAAATAATTCACCACAGTGCAAGACAATTTTTAAAATAAAAGAGAAAACAAAATACCTAGCAATAATGGATAATCTTCAGCAGATAGCCACATGGTACGAAATGCCACACGTTTAAGTTTCAATCTCTTTAATTTTGCCTCGTACTTTGCTTTTTCAGGACCTTTACCTTTTTCAATGAAGATCTCTTGTTAAAACGTTCTAAACGATTCACAATATTTCAGAAGGATAAAACACAAATTATACCAGTAATGATGAATAACAATCTGGGATATAAACATTGTTTTCCATCAGATATTTCTTTCCAGATGACCTCCTCATCTAGTGAATCATCTTCACCTAATATAGCAGCAACACGTCTGTCATACATTACAGCAGCTTCTAAGAGAATGCCAAAATCTTCATCGGGAGTCCTGAAAGTTTCACAAACCACAGAAATAAATCACTCAAGTCTGGTAAAGTAGCCCGCTAATATAAATTGAGATTATCATAGTCAATAGAGGATTACTCTCTCTCTTTCTTTTTTGTTGTTCAGTTTTTTTCCCCCACAGAATATCAATCTAACTAACTTCATAATATGCATCAAAAAAAGGATGTGGCCATTGTTAAAAGAATAAAAAGCAAGCTTAACATAATTAATGAAAGTTAACTTTATCTTACATTGAAGTAGAAACTGTATCGTACCAAGGTTTACAACAAAGAAGAATACAAACAAGTAAAATTAAAACATGCATACCTACCATTTCAATGCTACCAAAGGATGCAATTCGTGAGGATAAACTTACCAGCTCGTACTGCTTAGGATAATGAACTGCAAACACAACATTCGTAACATGTCTATTATTGCACATGTCCATCATGGTATGCTGTTCTAGGCTCAGTATATTTTAGTTGCAAATTCTTGTGTTCATGTGAAGCCATTCTACCTTTTTTCTTGTGTGTTGAACTACTAATGACATTATTTACTTATGAAGATGCTCTACTTGGTGATGTTCAGGTATACCCTGAAAAGGGAACAGTTGCCTTTTCTGCTGGTTTGCATGGATGGGCTTTTACACTGGAAACCTTTGCTAAGATTTATGCTTCTAAATTTGGAGTTGAAAAAGAAGTGATGATGAGAAGGCTCTGGGGTGAGAATTTCTTTGATTCTGCTACCAAAAAGTGGACCAAGAAGCACACTGGGACTTCTACTTGCAAGCGTGGCTTTGTTCAGTTTTGTTATGAACCAATCAAGCAGATTATTGAACTTTGCATGAATGGCCAGAAGGATAAGCTGTGGCCCATGTTGCACACGCTTGGGGTGAACTTGAAGTCAGAGGAGAAGGAATTGAAAGGAAAGGCTTTGATGAAGCGTGTTATGCAGAGCTGGCTCCCAGCAAGTAGTGCCCTTGTGGAGATTATGATATTTCATCTTCCCTCTCCCGCTGAGGCTAAAAAATATCGTGTTGAGAATTTATATGAGGGTCCCCTTGATGATCCTTATGCTTCTGGTATCAGAAATTGTGATCCTGAAGAACGTCTGATGCTTTATGTCTCAAAGATGACTCCTGCATCTGATAAGGGTAGGTTCTATGCTTTTGGCAGCGTCTTTTCAGGGAAGATTTCAACTGGTATGAAGGTCAGAATTATGGGACCAAATTATGTCCCTAGGGAGAAGAAAGACCTGTATGTGAAGAGTGTTCAAAGAACTGTCATTTGGATGGGAAAGAAGCAAGAAATCGTTGAGGATGTCCCTTGTGGAAATACAGCTGTCATGGTGGGTTTGGATCAATTTATTGCCAAGAATGCTACTTTAACAAATGAGGAAGAAGTTGAGGCACACCCAATTCGAGCTATGAAGTTTTCTGTGTCACCTGTGTTAAGTGTTGCTGTTACATGCAAGGTTGCATCAGATCTTCCTAAGCTTGTTGAAGGTCTTAAATGTTTAGCAAAGTCAGATCCTACGGTAGTCTGAGCAATTTCAGAGACAGGAGAACATACCATAGCTGCTGCCTATGAAGCACAGACTCCGACACAGCGTTTTCGATACGTTCCAAATACGTTCTTGATACGACCATTAATTCGTCGATACGATACAATACGTTTCCGATACGTTTGCGATACGCGTATCCGATACGTTGGAAAAAATAATTCGGAGTATCGTTGCTTCATAGGCTGCTGCTGGTGAGCTACATCTTGAAATCTGCTTCAAGAATTTGCAGGATAATCTTATGAAAGGAACTGCGATTTCAAAATCTGATCCTATTATCTCCTTCTGTGAGACTCTGTTTGACAAGTCTTGCCATACTGTAACAGACACAAATGTCTGTACATGGAAGCAAGGCCAACGGAGGATGGGCTTGCAGAGGCCATTGATGAAGGCAAGATTGGTCCATGGGATGACCCAAAAAATCTTTCTAAAATATTGTCTCAAGAGTTTGGTTGGGACAAGGAACTTGCAAGAAAATATGGTGTTTTGGTCCTGAGACCACCGGACCCAACATGGTGGTGGATGCATGTAAGGGTGTCCAGTACCTCAATGAAATCAAGGATGCTGTAGTTGCTGGATTTCATACAGCATCAAAAGAAGGTCCACTGGCTGATGAGAACATGAGAGGGGTCTTCTTTGAGCTTTGTTATGTTATTCCTCATGCTGATACCATCCACAGGGGAGATGGCTAGGGGTGAAAGTGGGCTGGGCTGGGCCAAGCTTTGCCCCGAAAAGCTCAAGCTTACGTCAAAAAAAATTTAATTTGGCTTGGCCCAAGCCTATTACGAGTCTAACTGTTAGCCTGACTTGGCCCGTTTATAAAAAAACAAATAGCCTGGCCTAGCCCATTAACTTGTTAATTTTTAACTTCCAAACAGAACCATGAATCAACTTTACAAAATACTCAAATTCTGTTGCTAAACCAAAAATCATAATTTCAACTTCCAAACAGAATCATGAATCACAACAAAATTCATACAATCTGCATTTAAGTCATTTTCAAAAGCAAAATGCTCAAACTAAATAACAAATATTTCATCAGATCCAACAAACAAATCCATACTATGTAAATTAAAATAATTACATGAATCCAACAACACATCATGATGTTTGTAGTAAGTATAATCTCTCCCGAAAACTTTTTAATATATTCATATACACAATTTAACATGTTGATATGTCGGTTCCTCCTATATAAGAAATAAAGTTAGATTTCTATTAAAATATAATCAAATATAATTAAGTTATAATTTTAAAATATAATCAAATATAATTAAGTTATAAATAATTACAATTGATTAAATTTATATCTTTTGTTTTTTTTTTCAAGCCATACTTATTCTATTTTATTTTATTTAAAATAAATAGTACAATATAGGCCGGCCTGTAAGCTTATAGGTCAGGCCTTGTGAAAGTGGGCCTACGGCCTTTTTAATAAACAAGCTTTTTCAAAGCCCAAGTTCGGCCTATTTTACGAAATATACTAGGTCAGGTCTGGCCTGACGTAGGGCGAGCCGTAGGCCTCTATGGGCCAGCCCGGCCCAGTTTCACCCCTACATGACACTATAGATTTGTCTCAAACACCGGATATGATAATATTATCTTATCATCAGATTGTTTATCTACTGCACATTAAACACATAATAAAATATGAGCTTATGAGTCTGATATCTTACCGTACTCTTATTTGGTACTCTTATTTGGCACTCTTATTTGGCACTCTTATCCTCTTTATTCCTATCATGTTCATGAAGGCAAAAAAATTTAATTATTGTATTTTAATTAAATAATTACGTATTTATTGCAGTTTTGAAAATAATTACGGATCTATTGCACAATGTGACGCCTTTTTTGGGCGTCACATGTGACGCCTCATTTAAGCGTCTCTCACCAAAGGGAAGACGCCCCAATGGGGCGTCTCTTATGAGGTGTTGACACGTGTCACTTTTTCCAAAAAAATTATAATTTAATCATAAAACTTCTGAAGGCCATAACTTTTGACTTGGGTATCCAATTCAGATAAATTTTTTTTTTGATTCCATATAACTTTTCGAGATCTACGCAATGACATCTCATTTGATATATTTTGTTTCTCACAAACATAATTTAAATTTAAATAAGGTAATCCTTCTTCCTTAGAGATTTAGAATATTTATTTAATGTGGATATCCATCGTTGGACAAATAATTACCAAATCGTGATTGATCTCAATTGAATCAGAATCCTTATTTCCAATTGAGAACCCTCTCTAAGCGATCGCTTAGCGTTTGGTCGAATACGACGCGTCTACTCGAGCAATCGCGGAGTATCAACCCGTTCGACTTGAGTTCATTGGGTTAATCAACCTAACCATTAAATCTAATGGTTAATCTCTTTCCTAAGAACGCAATCGCGTATCTCAGATTGAACACCCACAATCGCGCGATGCCAAACTGAGTTGGAAAGAGAAACATATTTGGTTCAAAATGAGGCGCAGGTCCTCAAGATTCAACCATGGAATCCTCAACCCTTGGGTTGATTAAAGAAAAGAGGAGAGAAAAGAGACGAAAATTATATTAATTTCAAAACTGTATAATTCAAACTCAAATGAAAGATTCTTCACAAGGTCCCTACTCTCGCCCTTTTAACCCCTAATCAAGTTGGGCTTCAGGCTCTACAAATCCAACCCAAAATAAAAAGAAACAAAACAGAAATAATGGCTCTGGGTCTCATGTACATTGGGTTCAAAATTATAACTTAAGTCCAAACGTCAAAATAAATTTCCAGCAAAACACGTCCATCTTGGGCTCAGGTTTCGACAATCTTCCCGTCCGAATTGGGCTTTAGTTGATGAAATAGCAACGGCGCCAAATTTGACATGAGCTGTCGAACTCGCACAAATTAATTAAATTAGGTTTATTTAAAATTTGTAGTAAAGCGTCAACCTAAGTCGTCTCTCAGGGAGTTTGCATCGTTCTCTATCGTTCTTTACCCTCTTCCTCCTTTTGTTTCAATTATGCAGAAAATTAATCATAGGGAGTGTTGTGATAAGCAGACTGAGAGGATTTTCACATGCGGATGGACATTGCTTCAAGCCTTTTTATGAGGGACTCCAGCAGCTTGTGGAGACACTAATCAGGCTCACTGATGCCAGTTACCTTCCCTAAGGAGGATAGGGAGTTTTCTTTTCATTTTTCTTTATTTTCTTTTTCTTTGCATTTTTTTATTTCAACTTTAATTGTCAATAAGTGGATTTTCCTTTTCCTTCTGATAATTGTTAAGTTATACATGGAATGAACTTGGACATATTTCTTTTGATAGATTATTCTGATCAGGCTTAATTCTTGACTCTTGGATTATATTACTTGTTGACTGATATTGTTATGCTGATTGCGTAATTTGGTTTTACCCTTGTGAGATTTTGGGCCTTTATGAATGGATTACATCTTTTGCCATTATCTCTTTCTTGTGTGTTTCTGCTCATGATCTTTATTCTCTGGAACTTGATCTTGTTCTTTTTGAAGCTGCATTTTTCATTTACATGCATGAATATGATAGAGGCATTTTTTCTTTTATTTTTTTCTTTAGCCAGATAGCCGTCCCTTACATTATTATCCCTTGGTGAGCCCCTTTGAGCCTTTATATCCTTTGTTTCTTAAGCCACTTTACTTGCCTAAGTGAAAAAACCAATTAATTCCACACCCTGGAGATTTACTGAGTATTGGTTTTCACTCTGATGTTGTGTTTAAGTGTGGAGGTTTGCCCGAGACGTACAAAAATTTAAGTGTGGGGGGTGACCATCTGATTCTTTTCTACTACGTGTTTTACTGTATTGATTCAAAAAAAGAAGCAAAAAAAAAAAAGGAAAAGAGAAAAAGCAAAAGAGAAAAAGCAAAAAAAAAAATGTTTATTTCTATCTTTTCATTATCTTTGTTTTATTTTCTTAGTGTCGTTCTTAACTTTTGCTCTTGTAGATTTCTGGGGTGTTGAATACCTTCACCTCAACCCCATTACAGCCCTGCATAAAGCCCTCTTGATTTGTGCATGCATGTGTTAGTAGCAGTGGAGAAATAGAATTTGAGCAAGCCTATGGTAGAATGATTTTCTTGAGTAAATTTGAGTGATACACTGATTACCTGATACACTTGAGAGAAAAATATTGAGAGCATCTTGTAAGGAACCATTTTCAGTAATTGGCATGTACAGTTGAAATTAGCAGGTCTTGTGATTTGAGATTAGGGAATTTCTGTCCTTATTGGTTAATCTGTTGAAGACTTGTGATCTTTGTATATTTCCTGTATGCTTGATAATTGTTATAAGGGATCGGTTGATCTTAGTCTTTGCTTTCTATTTTAGTTTTAGCCTAGGAGTGCAAAAAGATAAGTGTGGGGGAATTTGATAACACATATTTTGTTACACTTATTCATTACTCTTGGGTGGTATTTTTATGATTTATTTGAATCAAATAAAGGACTTTTGGGTCAAATCAGAATTCTAGATTTTAATTGGGTTTAATTGATTTTCGTCATAATTTTCCAGACTTGGGTTTAATTTCTCTTTCCAACTCGGTTTGACATCGCGCGATTGTGGGTGTTCAATCTGAGATACGCGATTGCGTTCTTAGGAAAGAGATTAACCATTAGATTTAATGGTTAGGTTGATTAACTCAATGAACTCAAGTCGAACGAGTTGATACTCCGCGATTGCTCGAGTAGACGCGCCGTATTCGACCAAACGCTAAAATTATAACTTAAGTCCAAACGTCAAAATAAATTTTGACATTAAACCTATATTTAATGTGAAAGCATTAAATATGGAAAATCATAACCATACAAAGGTATAAATAAATATTAAATATTAAATATGAGAAATCATAACCATAAAGATGGAAATAAATATAACCGTTGGATCAACGTAACGATGTAACGTTGAAATTAATTGATAATAACATTAATTAGTTATTACAATATCCTTTCCCATTTTTGAATATCTTACAATTATGTTTACTTTGTTTAAAATCTGGCTTTTTGACCTATGTAGGTCTATATTTCAAAAGTTTGACCTAAATAAATCTATCAGGATACTATTGCCCATATTAATGCATGGCAACACGTTGTTGTAGGTATCGTATTGAGACACGTTAGCTTTGCAAACGTTTTACAAAATGTCACACTCATTATCGTGTTTCATTTGAAAAGAACGCGCCTTGTACAAAAACGTTTGTAGGTCAGGTTATAAAACGTGAGGAGACCTACCGTTTTTGAAAACGGCACTGCACCAACCGGTTATCCTGATGTGACAATATGAAAAAAGCCTATAGCTTATATATATGAAATTTGATGTAGAAAACAAGTGAGACAAAAGATAACCAAATAAACTACTCAGAGAAACTATTATATACAAGAGAAACTATTAAGTAATAATAATGAAACAGTACGCATATCCTTGTGAGTCAGGTTCTGTACTTAATTTGGCACAATTGTGTATACACGTAGAGTTATGATGACAACGCGCAGAACATGTTTTCCTACTTACGTATAGTTTTTTTCTTTTTTTTAATTTAGGAGAACAAATTAAAAAAGATAAGATAAGGATGCTTAGCAGCCTTTTTTTATTTTTAAAAATAAAAAATATTTTACCCATTTTTTTCGAAATTTCATAATAAAAAAATTTATATGTAACTTCAGTGTACAAGAATTTTATATTAACATCCAATAAGATTTTGACTCGTTATTATTAATTTTTTATTTTAATTAATAAAAACATGATATGATACAATAGCAAATAATGATATATCAAATATTAACAAATGCCCAAATATTTTATACAAATATTTCAACCACCTCCCATTAACATTATCTTCAGTAAAGAGATTTTTGTAAAACAAAATAATCATTTCTTTTAGTCCCTCAGGATCCGAAATCCATTGATTACTGTATTCAAATGATAAAATATTGTGTTACGATCTCCATCTGCTATCCACTTGTATCTGGACTTTTGAAACCACAGAAGCTCCTCGTACCTCTTAAAATTATAAAAACATACAAATAATTAATTAGATTTAATTCAAAAAATTATATATTAAAAATAATTTAAAGTTTATAAAAAGATTTAATTAATTTTAAAAAAAAATCAGAACGACCATTTTTACAAAAGATATACTAAAATATTAAAGCTTAAGGAGTGGGGCAGTTAATTTTATTTTATTTTTTTGAAAAAAAAAAACAAACTTTAATATAAAAAATGAAAAAATAAAATAAAAAATACAAACAACTAAGATTTGAACTTTTGAAGAAAAATTAACTTAAAAAGAAAAAAATGAAAATAAAAGTAACTGGAATTCAGGAAGAAAGAAAAAACTTCAATGAAAAAAGTTAAAAGAAATTAATAATATAAGAGTTTTTTTAAAAAAATTAAATACTAATCAGCGGTGAAACTATCACATTGTAAGAAAAAAGAGTACAATAAAACTCATGCCACTCTCAAAAGTGAAATTCTATTTTATCATATAAAGTGGATTGCCAAATAGAAGACAGTTTCTCCACCTTAGATAGTCGAAGTTGTTGCAGCCATTCGTTTAACAAGACTCACATGCTAAACATCAAGAAGCAAAATCGAAGCATTTAGTAATATTGTGTTGACTGCATAATCTTACACATCGTTTCAAAGCTTTATGTCCTATATAATGTAGCAACTTTCAAACCTTTTCCAACAAACAGGCATGCATCCATTAACAACCAATACATTGTATGTCACCTCAATGGACAACAGGTTTTAAGGGATGAGCTCTAAGTTTTGACAAATCCAGACTAGAATCCAGATCTTCATCTAGTTCACCAACAACACTTCTGCAATGACCAAAGGGAAACCATACAAGTTTTAGGGCACATACATAGAAGAAATAGGTCACGGGTAGAGTGCCATAATAAGAAATCTATATGTTTCACAAATTTAAATGTGATGGAATAAGGGACATACATGTTGTCACCCCTAATGATGTACAAACCAAGAACAAGTTGTTGTACACCTTCCTGTCATTAGAAATATGAATGAGACTGACATCAGGATGACTAAGAGAAATTAAGCAAGGCTAAATTCATGACTTTCAAGAAAAAAATCTGCAGCTAATACAAAAGCTTATATTGAGCAAAGACTCGAAGTCACAATTATGGTGAGGAGAGAAGGTACAACAAAATTAACAATCACACAAATTTGCCATATAAATGAGGTACGGATTTGAGTAAGAGAAAATATATAACTCTAGATAGTAGATGTGCAATATAAACTCATACAACCATAAGCCAGAAAAGCTATTGGTAGCAAAACCTTAAAACAAAAGAAAGTAAACAGCTCTAACCTCCAAGGCAAAAAGTCCATGGTTTTATAGTTACTTGTCTCTATCTATAAAGAAAAGGCAAGGAATTTCCACATCATAAAAAGACATGGCCAAAAAGTCTGATTAAGTCTTTGAATTTTTTTTTCTAATCACGAAAAATAAAAAAAAATTAACTATGGTAGAGAAATTGTGAAGAGAAGCATGACTTAAACTCAAATAATACCCCCATGGTCATTAAAATAGCATTGACAGTCACGAATTTAGGGGACAGTTCTGTTTTCAAGATTCATTTTAAGACACAAACACAGACAATAACAACAAAAGCAAAGTAACAAAACAAGCTCATCTAATGCCTCATCTCATCACAAAATATGCCAAACTTGTGATATTCTGAATCTAATAAAAAAAAGTTGTTACAAATAATGACTAAAAGAGTTGTTGTATCTGAATAGAGTGTCATAATTTTTTCAATATCAGGCAGATCAGAACTGCAGCACATTTTTTCATAGCAGACAAGCCCCAAGATAGTTTGTGAAACTTGATTGTTTGATGAATTTCAATTTCAGCAGATTTATCATGACAAAGAATTGATAATTCCTAGTATAACAATCTACAGTTCAAAGGCAGATACAAATATTATTAATAGAAGGCGTGGCTCATTAATCTTTAAAGGGATTTTTCTGCATAAATTCATCCATACCTTGGTAGAATAAACTCGTTCATGGGATTCATCAAGAATTATATTTGTAGCCTGGTCAAAACCTTTCAGGACTCCCTAAACAAAAAAGCATTGTAATTAGATGTTAGAGCAATGACACCCATTACCACACTAGATACAGTAAAGAGCTAATTTTGTACATAAACTAAAACTTACCACTATATTTTGTCCATCATTCGTAATGACTGAAATTGTCTCTGCCAACAACCAAAAGACTCAGTAAAAGGAAGCAACTACTAGCATGGTTCAAAGCATATTTCAGGGAAATACAATTTGATGCAGAATCAGTTTTAGATGTTCCATTAACTCAAATGGTTTTTGGTAATAAGCGCAACAAATAACACAACTATTTATAGAATACAAATCCACCCCTCCACCATTCCCCATTAAACCCCGACTAGCGAGGGTAGAGGTGAAGGCAATCCTTATATGCAGCTTTACCTTTGCATATCTGCCTGCAAAGAGGCCGTTTCCCGGATTTGAACCCGTGACCTTTTGGTCACAAAGGAGCAGTTTTACTACGGCTCCAGACTCACCCTCTTTTATAGAATACAAAATATCGACAAAAAACATAAATATGTTACAGATGGCTTACGATCCACAAGAGACTCGAGACCGGGCCCAGTTGACATCTTGGGGGAGTAAGGTACTTTTTCAGTTTGCTATTGAACCTATCATCACACCTTTAGAAGCTTCGATGTCAAAACATTAATTAAAACAAAGCAAATGTACATTGAAAAGAAGCTAAATTCAGAATAAAGCATAAATATGATGTCAGAACTCACAAATCAATCAAGCAATAACCTCAGTTGTAGGTTTAACAGCTATATACAACATTACCTCCTCTTGAAAGCATTAGAATAATTGATATAAGGGTTTAAATAAACAATAAGAACACTCATCTCATAATCGTTCTTGAAAGATTAATGAGAGTTCATATTTAGTACATTATTATGAAAAGTTCCTGTCAAAACGATAAATGCCCCAACTTTCCTATCTGACATAGACAAAAACAAAATAAAAAAAAAAATAAAAACAAACCTTATTAATCCAGAAATCACGAATAGAATCAATGTTCGATAAAATGAAAAAAATAAATCTCAGTAAATCATATCCCACTTAAAACCTAATCCAGAAACATAATCAAGAGTGTACCCCCGCAACAAGTACTGCTATAAGTCCGTTAATCAAAACCTAAGTAGTAAACGGTAGTGTTTTAGGGCCAGAAATCACATCGTTTACACAAAAATAAATTAAAATAACCTTATAAAGAAATGTTGAGAGGGAAAGATAAGATTAAGGTGAATCACCTGATGAAGAAGATACGCGTGAAGTTTAGCAGCAAATAGAGGCCAGAGGAAGGTTTTGGGTTTTGCGTTTTGCGTTATATGGCTTTTGAATGAAATGTGGATATTATTCAAGGGATTGAGAGAGGCGATGCTTTGCCTGGGCTCAGGAGCTACGCTGATATAGCCGAGACGGCTCGTACGGTGGGGTTCGAGGTGGTGAAGGAGCGGGATCTGGCGAAACCACCGGCTGAGCCTTGGTGGAGTCGGTTGAAGATGGGTAGGATCGCCTACTGGCGGAACCACATTGTGGTCACTGTTCTGGCAACTTTGGGAATAGCACCCAAAGGTACGGTGGATGTTCATGAGATGCTATTCAAAACCGTTGACTATTTGACCAGAGGGGGTGGCACTGGAATTTTCTCTCTGATGCACATGATCCTCTGCAGAAAACCCAAAGACAGACACAATTGAGGTGTAGGTGTACCCTAAAAACTCGCACCATGATTTATTCCGGTATTTCCGCCCCAAACTCGCACCATCATTGTAGATGTAAAATGATGGCATTGAGCCTTTGATGAAAATCCATGGATGAATTTAAAGTTTTAGAGCCTTGAAGTGATCAAGTTTATGTATAAACTATGGTGAATGATCAATTACGTGAATAATGAGCTAGGGAAGTAATTATACAACATTTATGCAATTTAAAACAAAATTTCCTGGTTGTTGTCACAATAGTAATCGGTTACTCGCTGTTAGTAACGGATTTCCTTAATTGGACAAGATGAGCATGGTTTAGTAAAATAGATATAACTTTAGCTAGGAAACTCCAAATTGAATGCAGTTTGGACCTATGTGAAGTTAACACATGGGGATACAACCCTATGAAATCTTAGAGTCATTGGATGAGAGGTCTAGTCCCAGTTTAATTTTGAGTTCACTGCCCTATTTTTAGGAAGTCTGATTTGAAGCAGTTGGCTTGCGACGAACGTATCTTGAGTTATACAAGTCAAATTGAGACTTATAATATGTTGTTGGAAATATCAAGATGTCTAGTTTAACATAGTAAAATATCAAAATTTATGGTAAATAGTTATAGTCCCAATTTTAGAAAATGTGTGTGCTATTTAGTGCTGGTAGAGTTCCAAGTATGATTTTTAACATGTTAGTCTATGGTGGTTACATGGTGAATGACTTAGAATATGTTCTATATGCTTTTAGGTTATGATATTACCTAATAAGATATTGTAAAATAAATATTGATGTTTCTGAATAATATAAGAATTATAATTAAAGTATTTGCTAGAATTGAATACGGAATTCAATAATTGTAATAAATGAAAAACTAAAAGAAAAAGTTTATTCACGTTTTTATATAAGTCTATTTATGAATCAATAAGTATAGTTTCTGCGTTTTATTTAATTAAATATGTTGCGTTTAATATCATTCTAATGCTAACAAATCGGTCCGAAATAGAGTGAGTGTTACAATGAGATTTTGCTTTGTGTGAGTGCATAAACTGTTTCGATCATAAAGAAATAAACTTAATTAAGACTTGTAGTTGAAGATTTATATTGTTTGAAATTGTAAAATAAGTGTAGACAATTTAAAGTGATAAAAGTTATCACAATTTATTTAATTGTGAAAGTTAAAAATAATTGTGGATCACAATCACTGATGCAAAAATTGCACCGCGTGCAGTTAGAAATGCTTTTCTAGTCGATGACTATGATGCAATATTTTATTTGGTCACATCCAATGTTGTTAAAATCGAGATCTTAAGTAAAATCGGAAGGGAATTAAAAAATCGTAAAACGTAAAATCGTAATGTAAAAAAATCGTAAAAAATCATAAAAACGTAAAAGCGTTTGGAATATTAGTAAATTTTTTTGATGAAAAAAATCGTAAAATCGTAGTGATAAATCGAAATTATAACAACAATGGTCACATCCCATGTGATTAAGATAATGATGATTATTTATTTTTACTATATATTTAGGGGAAAGGTTATATACTAACAACATCTTTTTTCTTATAACCTCTTGCAATTACTTTTATGGCTATTGAATCAAAAATAAATCAACTGGTTCTCATTTAATATCATTTATAATAGTTAAATTGTTTTTAATTCAAAAATCATAAAAATAATTATAAGAGAAAACATGTTGGAAATATAATTTCTTTCTATATTTAGTGATTTTCACTTATAAACTCTGCTGCACGAACAAGCTTTTTGGAAAAAAAAAAAGTGTGTCGGACACCGATACGCGATCAATGCTTTCTGACACTTTTTTTTTTGTCTTTTTAACTAAACACGAAAAATTAATTTATAAATCAAATATTTTCTGTTATGAAATTTGACCTAAAAAATTAATTAGACATGAAAAATTATTTTTCTTTATATTTATGTCATGATATTTGAATATTTGATTGATTATATAATTTATTATGAGCTGCTATATGTATTAAATATAAACTATATTATATATATTAAAAATATTATTTAAGATCAAAACGTGTCCTAACGTGTCGAAATCTAATATTTTTTAAAATTAACATATCAACATGTTGTGTCGTATCGCATTTCATATCTCATATCGTTGTCGGTACAACATATCTTATGAATTAATTTTTTTCTACATATTTATTTTCATATTTTTTTGAGTATTATTTTGTAACCAAATGTATTTCAAAAATTGATTTAATTTATAAATAAATTAAGGATTTTGCCGGTCTTGACTTGATTTCAATTCACATACTAGCATATATTCTACGGTGTATATCTAATTGTTAAATTAATCACTTTAAATTGAAATTACAACATGTGGTAACTACTTACCTACAACATAAGAAAAGTATTTTCCTATGAAATTATAGGAAAATACTTTTCTTATGTTGTAGGTAAGTAGTTACCACATGTTGTAGAAATAAAATTATAAGTGAGATCCACAGATAAAAGGAGAGAGAAAAAAGAGTGGTGAGACCCGATCTTTTTGTGTGTGTATAAAAGTTATTTATCTCATGTAAAATGAGATAAACATGTTATCAAAAAAAAAGAAAAAGAGATAAACATAACCCATAATTATAATAGTTAAATTATTTTTTTTCACTCAGTCAGCCACATTAGCCGACAATTTTTTGAGGAATGAAAAAATAAAATAGTTTTCATATTATTATTATGTCTCATTTTACATAAATAGGTAATGAAAAATATTTTACCCATTTATTTCGAAATTTCATAATAAAAAAATTTATATGTAACTTCATACAAGAATTTTATATTAACATCCAATAAGATTTTGACTCATTATTATTAATTTTTTATTTTAATTAATAAAAACATGATATGATACAATAGCAAATAATGATATATCAAATATTAACAAATGCCCAAATTTTGTCATATCATCCTCTTACCTGGCATTAAAATAAATTATTTATTATTATTTTTTTTAAAATTTAAACACATATCATATTTTAAGTGGAAGTAGCACTGAAAATTCAGTGCAAATAGTCACACCGAAGAAATTCTCCAATCTTTCACAACTACCTATATGTGTCACTTTCATGCCTTAAGACAATGACCTTTAGTGGTTTACTTATTGCATTTCACCTAGCATAAGCAATAAGCATTATGTAGGTTTACCCTTTCTCTTCCGTGTATGAAACCACCACATTGCACCCTAGACTGACCAGACTTGTTCTTCCTATACCAGCCAGCCAATTTTGAAAAAATATTAACATGAACCAAACCGAATAGATTTATAAGATTCAAAGAACCGAACAGCTTCGACACCGGAACCGGTTTATCTTTCAAAATCAGTTTATGATTTATAACCGGTTTCATACCCAATTCGTGTATGCAAACATGTTCTGAATTGATTTTTAAAATCAATTCTTTTAGTTCTTTTCAATTTTTAAATGGGAAATATTACTCTCCTTTTACATGAGGTAACTTATTTCATTTTCTCTCACTTCGATTTTCGCACTCCACTTTTTCCTTTTTTCTTGTAATGGTGGGACCCACCCATTTTCTCTCTACCACATAAGATAACTATCTTATGTGGAAGGAGATTAATAAAACCCTTTTTAAATTGGTTTAATAAACTAGTTCGATTCTCAAAATTAGTTCAGAAAAATACGATTCGGTTATTTTGCACATCCCTTTAAACAATGCATGAGAAAAATAGTGTTACCAAAACAACCTCCTAGTTTTATTGTTATCTTAACTATATGTAAAGTATGGTTAACAAACTTTGCTCTATGTTAGATTGGACGCCCTGTGGTGTTCTCTTTGGCTGCTGAAGGAGAGGTTGGTGTAAGGAAAGTGCTGCAGATGCTACGTGACGAGTTTGAGTTAACCATGGCCTTAAGTGGTTGCCGCTCACTCAAGGAAATCACTCGTGATCACATTGTGACAGAATGGGACCTCCCTCGCACTCAACCACGTGTATCACCAAGATTATGAAAAGATCTTGCTCTTCATTTGAGCTAAGTGGTGCAGAACAATTAATGGGGAAACATTTTGTATGTCTCATTAACCTGTTCTCGTCCTTTCTTTTTCCTTTTTGGGAGAACTCATTTGATGTTATATTTGGAAAACTATATGCTTTCTTTGTAAGGATTGTATGATCTGATACTTTAGTAGCTACTATTGCTGCATTTCCTCATTTGTATATTGGTAGGGTTAAATGGTTGAGTAATATAAAAAAAAAATTTGTTGTTAGCCCCTTAATTTTTTTGTGTTGTTAGCCCCTTGCATGACCAATGCATAGAACTAAACTTTTTGTGATATCCATAGAATATTATAGTAAAACTTAGGGAAAAATTCACTAATGCCCTTTTAGTTTGCTTCAGAATTGTCTATGCCTCTGTAGATTTTTTTATATCACATATTGCCCTGTGGTTTGTAAAAAGTAAAAAATCACAAGGGCATGTGTGATAAAAACATACCCTTTTGCAAATCACGGGGACATATGTGATAAAAAAAATCATAAGGGCATAGGTGATTCTAAAGCAAACTACAGGAGCATTGGTGAATTTTTTCCTAAAATTCAAGGGAAATCGTTTCTCCTTTTTGGGGGCCATCTATCATTATATCTGCAGCAACGAAAATTTTCTCCTGTATAATACCGGATACTCATTGCATCATTTTGCAGCACAAGTTGTGATAATAAAGGGGTACGTTTTTTTTTTTTATGCAATAGACAAAATTTTATAAACATTAAATAATAAGTATAAAAATTTAGGGATTTGTGATTTTACAATTAAAAATATCTATGGCATGTGTAAATATACACATTAATACCAAATACATCTAAGGGCTCGTTTGGTAGTTAAAATAGAAAGGACATGATATGTTAGGCTATTATATCCTGCTATTATTCATTGTTTGGTAAATCAACAGGATATGATAAGCTTAAGTTGTTGGCTCATTTTATTCTGCTTATAGTAGGATAAACTATCCTACTGGGGGACTCGAGTTATAAAGGAACATGATATGATAACAAATGTCACATCCCTTTCTTTTCAAATATGGCCATATGTTTTTCTCATATAAATTTTGTTTGGCATGTGAGAGTCAGTCCTTGCCACCGACAAGCCGCCGCCATTGCT